TTACTATTGAGTTGTTTGAGTTCCTTATATATTTTGGATATTATCCCTTTATCAGATGTATGGCTGGCAAATATTTGCTCCTGTTCTCTCTGTTGTCTCTTCAATCTGTTGATTGTAACCCTTGCTCTATAGAAAGTTTTCAGTTTTATGTAATCTCATTTGTCGATTTGGCTTTTGTAGCCTGCGCTTTTGGGGTCATATCTAAAAAATCACTACTCAGACCAATGTCATGGAGCTTTCCCCCTCCTTTTTTTCTAGTAGTTTTACCGTTTCAGGTCGTACACATAAGTCTTCAATTTACTTGAGTTGATTATTACATATGATATGAGATAAGCCTCTAATTTCATTCTCCTGAATATGGATATCCCATTTCCCCATTACTACTTATTGAGGAGAATATCCTTTCCCTATTGTGTATTCTTGGTCCCTTACTGAACAACTGACTGTAAATGGGTAGATTTTTTTTCTGGACTCTTTATTCTGTTTTTTACTTTTTAATCTTTTTTAAAAATTAGCAATCCTATTTATTAACTGATGGACTCTTTATTCTGTTCAGTTGGTTTTTCTGTTTCTCTGCCAGTATCATGCTGTTCTGATTACTGTAGCTTTGTGGTATATTTTGAGATCAAGCAGTATGATGCTTCTAGCTTTGTTCTTTTTGCTCAAGATTTCTTTAGCTATTCATCCTCTTTTGTCATTCCATAGGAATTTTACAGGGTTTTTTTCTAGCTGTGTGAAAAATGTCATTGGAATTTTTATAGGGATTGCATTGAATCTGTGAATCACTTTGGGCATTTTAACAATATTCTTTCAACCCATAAACATGAGATGTCTTTTTATTTATTTCTGTCGTCTTCAGTTTCTTTCATCAATGTTTTATAGGTTTCAGTGTGCGAGAGTCTTTTACTTATGTTAACTTATTTCTTTTTTTCTTTTTTTTTTTTTTTTTTGAGATGGAGTCTCACTCTGTCTGTCGCCTGGGCTGGAGTGCAGTGGTGCCATCTTGGCTCACTGCAACCTCCGCCTTCCGGGTTCAAGCGATTCTCCTGCCTCGGCCTCCTGAGTAGCTGGGATTGCAAGCGCCTGCCACTACGCCCAGCTAATTTATTTTGTATTTTTAGTAGAGACAGGGTTTCACCATGTTGGCCAGGCTGCTCTCAAACTCCTGACCTCATGCTTCGCCCACCTTGGCCTCCCAAAGTGCTGGGATTACAGGCGTGAGCCACCGTACCCAGCCCGTATTTATTTCTAAGTATTTTAATATATTTTTGTAGCTATTGCAAATAGGATTGTTTTATGGATTTCTCTTTCAGATAGTTCACTGTTAATGTTTGGAAACACTACTCATTCTTGTATACTGGTTTTATATCCTACAACATTACTAAATTTCTTTATTAATTCTAATAGTTTTTTGGTGCAATCTTTAGAGTTTTTCTGTATAAGATCATGTCATCTGCCAGGCGTGGTGGCTCACGCCTGTAATGCCAGCACTTTGGGAGGCCGAGGTGGGCAGATCATGAGGTCAGGAGTTCGAGACCAGCCTGGCCAACATGCTGAAACCCCGTCTCTATTAAAAATACAAAAATTCGCTGGGCATGGTGCTGCGTGCCTGTAGTCCCAGCTACTCAGGAGGCTGAGGCAGAGGTTGCAGTCAGCCGAGATCTCACTGCTTCACTCCAGCCTGGGTGACAGAGTAAGACTCTGTCAAAAAAAAAAAAAAAGAAAAGAAAATCATGTCATTGGCAAACAGGTACAATTTAATTTCTTCCTTTTCAATTTGGATGCCTTTTATTTCATTCTCTTGCCTAATTGCCCTGACTAGGACTTCTAGTACTATGTTAAATAGAAGTGGCAAGAGTGCATGTCCTGGTTGTGTTCCTGACCGTAGAGGAAAAGCTCTTTTTTACTGTTGAAATGATGTTAACTGTTGGTTTGTCATATATAACTTTTATTGTGTTGAGGCATATTCTTGCTATACCTAATTTGTTGAGAGCACTTCCTTACTTTTTGACCCAGCAGACCCATCTTGAACTTTCCCTGCCCCAGGCCTAGAATCAATCAGCTCTCAAAGGAGCACCAACTCCTTTTAGTAGGGATGCAGACATGTTTGTAAAAATTATGAAACTCAGTTCCAGCTAGGATGCAATAAAATGCACTCTCTTACACTGCGTGTGAAAATATAAATTGGTATATTCCCCTCTAGAAAATGATTTGGTGGATTTAAGCACCTTAAAAATATTTATACTTCATGATCCAGTAATCCCCATTCTAGCAATCTGGCCCAAAGAATTGATCTGTGTTTTAGAAAAGTAAGATAAAGACATTTATCACAGCCATTTATACATTAAAGAAACAAAAAGGAAACATCCAATACAAACCAACACAAATGACACGAAAGCAATGTAATCAAATCCATTCTAACCAACACAACTGACATGGAAGCAATACAAATGATTTTTTAAAATATGTAGGCATCAATAGTATGTTGACTAAGACTTCTAAAAGCAATTTTCCACCGGGCGTGGTGGCTCACGCCTGTAATCTCAACACTTTGGAATGCCAAGGCGGGCAGATCACTTGAGGTCAGGAGTTCGAGACCAGCCTGGCCAATATGGTGAAACCTCATCTCTACTAAAAATACAAAAATTAGCCAGGGATGGTGGCCCATGCCTGTAATCCCAGCTGCTCGGGAGACTGAGGCAGGAGAATCACTTGAACCCTGGAGGTGGAGGTTGCAGTGAGCCAAGATCGTGCCACTGCACTCCAGCCTGGGTGACAGAGCCAGATTCCGTATCAAAAATAAAAAAGTATTTTTCTTTACTTTACAATCAACCTTCTTGAACAGGTTTTCTTGTCTCTCTTTCCATACCCCCCATTCATGCTTCAGTCCCCTGTAGTATGGCTTCTATCTTCTGATCCTCACAGAACCATTCCACTTCTATCTTCTTCATCCTCATAGAACCTTTTTACTAAAAGTGCATTCAAGATGTCCTCCTTTTGCAAAAATTATTTTCAGACCCTGTCTTTTTTTTTTTTAATCTCTCTGAAACACTCCTTCTTTTTTGAAAACTTTCTTGTCTATTGGCTTCTATGACATTAGGCTCTGCTGATTCTTTGTTAACCCCCAGACTCTCCTTCTCATTCTCTTTGTGGGGGCTCCTTTTCCTCTACGTGACCTTTAAGATGTAAGTGTCCCTCAGAGTTCTCACTGAGGTTGACTTTTCTCCTTACTTTGAAGTCCTAGATAATATATACTCTGTCTTCAACTGTTACCAACACATGCTAAAGATTCCCGAATTTCTTTCTCCAGTCCACCCTTTCTGAACTGCAGATGAGGCCAACTGCCTCCTGGACATCATCTTGCTGTCCCATGGCATCGCAAGGTTAACAAACCTTAAACTTAACCCATGATCTTGGCCATCAAATCTGTGACTCTATGTATATTCCTTCCTTGTTGAACTGCACCTGGTCTCCCAAACTCCAAATTCAGAAGTCCCTTTTGCTGTTCTCTCTCTCCTAATCTTCATGGACAATCAATGACCAAGCTCTATTCATTCCACCTCACCCTTTTTTAGATAATCAAAATGAAAATACAACCACATTAGAATATTTATGAGAATCCCGTTATCTGGATGAGTGTCTCAAAACCAAATGCTTACAGAAATTCCATGGCCCATGTTTCCATTTGTGTTTATAACAGTATTTGGGGCCAGACTATTAAAATACTCAGATTCTTTTACCAGCTATATGAAAGACAAATGATGTCAACATATACAATATTAACAAAATAGAGAAGAGTGCTGGGCTAAATGAACCATCATATGTCATCCAGTAAAATAGGCTAGCTATGTAAAAAAGAACGTGCACGTGGCTGGCCATGGTGGCTCACGCCTATAATCCCAGCACTTTGGGAGGCCAAGGCTAGTGGATCACGAGGTCAGGAGATTGAGATCATCCTAACTCACACGGTGAAACCCCGTCTCTGCTAAAAGTACAAAACAAAATTAGTGGGCGTGGTGGCTTACGCCTCTAGTCCCAGCTACTCAGGAGGCTAAGGCAGGAGAATGGCGTGAACCTGAGAGGTGGAGTTTGCAGTGAGCAGAGATGGCGCCACTGCACTCCAGCCTGGGCAACAGAGCAAGACTCTGTCTAAAAAAAAAAAAAAAAAAAAAAGAACGTGCACATAACCAGTGAGCTTCATCTTCACATTTCAAAAAGTAATTTCAGCTAAATGTTATTTGTTATATTTAAGTGATATTAATGGTAATGTGTTGTTTTCTACTTTTCTTTCCAGTCATTTTATCTATAAATTTTTGTATTTTACAGTTGTATAAGAGCTGTCAGCATAAGAAGCATATATCTAGTTTTATGCATATTTATAGCAATATTTTAATGTCGATCCTAGGGATCTGAAAAATAACTTTTTTAAGAGATAGGGTCTCACTTGGTTGCCCCAGTTAGAGTGCAGTGGTGCAATTATAGCTTACTGGAGCCTGCAGCCTTGAATTCTTGGGCTCAAGTGATCCTCCCACTTCAGCCTCCCAGGTAGCTAGAACTATAGGCGCAATCTTGCCTAATTTTTGTTTGTTTGTTTGTTTTGTATAAAGAGGGTCTCCTTATGTTGCCTAGGCTGGTTAAAAACTCCTAGCCTCAAGCAATCCTCCTGCCTTGGCCTCCCAAAGTGCTGAGATTACAGACTTGAGCCACTGCACTCGGCCAAATTTTTCAGTGAAAAATGAACTCCTCCATAACTGGCTTAGGAAACACTGTTTTAGATGCTGAGACTCCAGTAACTACCACCTTTACTACTACATTGGCTTAAAGCCAAGTTTGCCGCCATCTCTAGCAAGTGTTTAGGATTTGATATAACATGTTTTATGATTAAATTTGCCTTGGTTCTATATAACATCCTATAGCTATTCACTTTTTAACGGTATTTTTCTCAATGATAGTGAATGTCTTTATTGTACTATATTTGACATATTTTTATGGCTGCCCTACATTGTTTATGGAACCAGTATGGATATGAACGCTTACTTGTGGTAGTGAGCAAGGGGTAATAAGAAATGTGAACCTGATATAATATAAAGTAACTACAGTCTCAGGTGTCTTAGGGCATCAGATTCAAGATGAAAATTAAAAGTGTGGGGAAAAGAAAGAAAGATAAGATTATTCCTGTGTCTATGCAGAAATGGAAGTCATAAGAAACTCCATTTTGATCTGTACTAAGAAAAATTGTTCTGCTTTGAGATGCTGTTAATCTGTAACTTTACCCCAACCCTGTGCTCACAGGAACATGTGCTGTATTGAATCAACATTTAATGGATTTAGGGCTGTGCAGGATGTGCCTTATTAACAATATGTTTGCAGGCAGTATGCCTGGTAAAAGTCATCACCGTTCTCCATTCTGTATTAACCAGGGACACAGTGCACTGCAGAAAGCTGCAGGGACCTCTGCCCAAGAAAGCCTGGGTATTGTCCAAGGTTTCTCCCAACTGAGATAGCCTGAGATACGGCCTCATGGGAAAGGAAGGACCTTACATCCCCCAGCCCGACACCCGTGAAGGGTCTGTGCTGAGGAGGAGTAGTGAAAGAAGGAGGCCTCTTTGCAGTTGAGATAAGAAGAAGGTTTCTGTGTCCTGCTTGTCCCTGGGAATGGAATGTCTTGGTGTAAAGCTGACCATTCATTCTATTCTGAGATAGGAGAAAATCGCCTATCTCAGATAGGCTGGAAGCAAGATATGCTGGCAGCAATACTTCTCTGTTACTCCTTGCTACACTGAGATGTTTGTGTAAAGTGAAACATAAATCTAGCCTATGTGCACATCCAGGCACAGTGCCTTCCCTGGAACTTATTCATGATACAGATTCCTTTGCTCACATTTCCCTGCTGACCTTCTCCCCACCATCACCCTGTTTTTCTGCCACACTCCCCTCACCAAGATAGTAAAAATAGTCATCAATAAATACTGAGGGAACTCAGAGACCAGCGCCGGTGCAGGTCCTTGCACGTTGAGCACCAGTCTCTTGGGCCCACTGTTCTTTCTATATACTTTGTCTCTGTGTTTTATTTCTTTTCTCAGTCTCTCGTCTCCACCTGAGAAATACCCACAGGTGTGGAGGGGCAGGCCCCCTTCAAAAAGCTCAGATACCTCTCTAAACAGTTCTACAGGAATAAATGGAGGTTGGCTGCCAATACCCCTTAAGCCACCTCAAAAACCAAGTTGACAGGCTGTATGCTTTTTTCTTTTCTCTTGGGAAAAATACCAGTGCCCTCTAGTGTCCGAAGTGCACCTTGAGTAGTACCATGTAGATCAGTTTATCTTCAAAGAATAATGTACTAATTCAATGTTAGAGATAATTTTTTAAAATAAATTTTGGAGGCTGGGCACGGTGGCTCACGCCTGTAATCCCAGCACTTTCGGAGGCCGAGGCAGGCGGATCACTTGAGGTCAGGAGTTCGAGACCAACCTGGCCAACATGGTGAAACCCCATCTCTACTAAATACAAAAATTAGCTTAGCATGGTGGCACACCTGTAGTCCCAGTTACTTGGGAAGCTGAAACGGGAGAATCACTTGAACCCAGGAGGCAGAGTTGCAGTGAGCCGAGACTGCGCCACCACACTCCAGCCTGGGTGACAGAGCAAGACTCTGTCTCACAAATAAATAAATAAATATTGCAGCATTAAATTCTGGGCAGCAATATAAAAGCATGCTATTATCCTACAGATCACAATATAAAACACTATTTATTTTCATGTTTTTGAGAACAATGAACACACAAGATACAATCTCTGGAGGAGA